CAGGTGAGAAAACTGTGAGAAAATTGCAGATAGGATGGCCAAACGTTCAGGCACGGCCCCGAGTGAAACTGAATATCCACTGCATTTTAAACAGATATGACTGCCAACATGAATACAGAAATCCACAAGGTGTTCGACATGAAAACATCTGTCACGAAAATAATATTTCCACTGAGTCAGAGTCATATAGACTTGAGACACTACTCCCATTCCTTTGACTGACGAGACAAAAAGTAGCCTCCAAAAAAAAAGTGGCATAAATTTGAATAATCACATCAGCCAGGGACTGTGGGTTCACTGGTGACAAGGATAGAAATGCGATGCTGCAGAATGCCTCGTATCATCCTTGTTGATCTTTGACTGTGTGTGTGTGAATGAAAATTACTCCAGCAGTGAATCCCGGCAGCACAACGGGATTCAGCCAATAATGCGCACAGCTTCACCAACGACCTGGGGAGCATTTGAAGTCTGCCACTCTCAAACTTTCATCGTAGCAGTATTGCCCCCGAAACATCCCCAAAGGAGAAAGTTTTCCAACATCAAAAAGCGAGTCAACAACAAGCATGTCCTGTACCCAAATGAAAAATTATACAGGTCCCCTCCCTGCACACTCCCCTCTGTGAAATTATATAGCAGAACAAGTCATTTCAGGACTGGCCTTTTGTTTTGCCAACTGTGGGCTACTGTATGTCTCAGTGCTATAAATGCTTCATACATTTAAATTCAAAAACATGCAATCGCCTACTTACAGAAGCAGAAAACCTACTTTAAAGTTGTTGCATCTTGGTGTTGTCATAACTGCCTCACATTGACGGTCAATTAGCTTGTGTCTCAATGAAAATATGCACCATAACGTCATTACATTCTAAAACATCTGCATTACTACTGTAATGTGCCTGAATTCACAATATGGCACTTTTCTTTCATTTCAACTGGTTTTAATAATCTCAGTTTCAAAAAGTCTGAGGTAACGTGAATGGCGTAAATGTAGTAACAGTGACCTGTTCTTCAACTTAGCTGTAGTGTTGTGGATGTAGCCCTAACGTAACCCAGATGACATCATCAGGATTATTCATTCAATAATTTTCAGAAATGAAATTGAGTCCAGATATTCCCTGAGACTTTGACTCTCACATATGCAGCAGGAGATTTTCCAGGTCAGACGCAGGTCGGGGAAATGTGGGTGGTGGCAGAACGTATAAATTCTGTGGTGGAGATGTTTTTGTGTACAACACTCTAGCGTTGGCTCTTATTGACAGAAGCTCTCAAATCTCCTCTCAAGTCTTTGTCGGCATGTGTGTATGTCTTTTCAGCCTGAGATATTTGTATTCTTCCAGTTTCACGTCCGTTGCATGTGAGAAACTTCCTCAACACCCCCGCTTGCTCGTGGTGAATTTTCTCACGTTCGGTTCATTCGGATATTTCCCGGATACTTTACTCGAGGGCTGTCAGGACAAGTTTTGGAAAATATGTGGAACTGACTCAGACAAGTGCGTTCTCACGTAGAGCCCCTCGGGACAATCTCAGTAAAATGTCTAGACTTTAATGCATGTCTGAAAGCAACTTAAATAAGATCTAATGTTCATTCCTCAAAGCAGACCTGGGTTCTACTGATGCTGTATCACACAGACTGACAGTAAATCAAATGCAAACTCTTTCATGCTCATTTTAAAGAAAGGTCTGTCCTGTGTGTTTCACGCATCTGTCAGCCTGTTTTGATTGATCTCATCGTTTTGGTGCGATCGTGCTCTACAGAAAGCCTTTCTACAGAAGGACAGTGATTCACTCACTTGTGTTTACCATCAGAAGAGGCAGCTAAATTTGAGATTGAATATTCAATGTGTTTTTCATCCCTTTGTTGGGCATGATTAGCATGATGGGTGGTGAAAGATGTAAAGAACAAAGGTCCTCTGTGGCTGCAAATATGGGCGGGTCCCTAAAATAAAATCTTCCCTGGGTTTAATGCTGAAGTTTGATTTTATTGAGATTTATCACCGACATTCTGTTCATACTGTGGGGAATAGAGCTTCAACATTTGAAAAGCGACAACAGCTGTGTGACCACCCACTGCAGGGCTTTAATGTCATTTAAATAAACGCTCCACATTGTTTGACGCTCGTCCTCATAACTACTCGTTGCAGCAATTATGTCATTATCCCAACCACGCCACATAAAAGCCCAGCATGGATACCCATCAAGAAAGTGAAGTGCCATATTTTCTCAGTGTGGTACTGTAAGTTAGAACGGAGGTGTCATATCATCCTCTGTATGTCAACAAAGCTGCATCAGTGAAAAATGGCAGCCAGCTACGTGTACTACATGAGCAAGTCAAAGCCGCGTAACTCTATTTGTATGAAAGCAAACAGCAGTCCTGACGTGCTTTGCGTCGGCAGAGCTGTGCTCCTCTGTTGACAATAAGATTGGTGGGTTGAAAATAAAAGCGTGTGAGCAACAAAGTCTGGAGTCTGTGTCACAGTGACATCAGGCAATTTGGATTCTTTCCTGTTTGGTCACTGAAGCTTGGATTATTTACAGTTAAATACAACCACTGCCCTGCACCGTGCAGATGCTGACAACAGCAAGTTGCAGCAGCTATATTCAGCACTGCCAACTATCATCCGAGGAAAGTAGGTATTCACCGCTCAGGCTAGATGATGTCATGCGCTCATTTGCATGTGAATAAAATTGCTGAAGCGATCAAGAATAAATAGAAGCGGGACCTCGCTCGTTTCTCCCACTGGCTCACTCTGCCCCACCGTGTGAGCCTGTGCGTGCACAGAGGAGACAGAGGATCAGCTGTGCATGGGGAAGCACTGTGATCACACCTATTTGGATGAGACAAGGATGTAGTGAAAATGCAAATGCATGTGGATCAGGCTCAACATTTGGCATAGAATCTTTTGCCAAATGCTTCGGAGTCGAATGTGTTTCTCAGATAATCCGAAAGAGGAGCTGTGTTTGTTGCTCGTGGCTTTTCAGGAAAAATTTGATCCAGGGAGGAGTCTTAGAAATGAAATAGCTAAATCCAGTGACAAGCATGGCAAGTTGGCGGGGGTAATTGCTTTTAATTATTACATTGTTATCTAACAAAGCTACGTTCATCTGACTCCAGCTTAGTCACCGCTGTGCAGTTCATGTGCTGTTGACTGTGTTCCTGGGGCTCAAACAGAAACACTTTTACTTACTCGGTTATTTCATTAATGTGTTATATTATGTGACGCTGGATTTTTAGAAAAAAAATCACCTTCGCCACAATAAGCAAGTAAAGTTTTTTTGTCTGGTTGGTTTTTGAAATACTGATTTCAATATCAACCACAAGAGGCTGGAGGAGGAGCAATACATTTTCGTGCACACACCAAATGGCAAGAAAGCTGTAGTAAAGTAGGGTCTTATGTAAAGTAAGTCTTTATGGATATTTTTCATGCCCACCCCACTGATTTGGTTGCTCACCAGAACCTCTATATTAATTCAAATTGACAAAATTAAAACAGCTTTTCATATTTTGTTGTGTTCTGTAATCATTACATGTACTGGACCTTCTTTCTGTCCATTGTCCCACTCACCTGTTTTTCTCAAATGAAAAAAGAATATTTAGAAAGATTATCCTGGCAAGAAAAAAAACAAGCGGTTGCCTCTCATGGCATATATATATTTTTTTTTCCATATAGTTTTTCCCTTTAGCTTACAGCCTTTGACAACAAAATGATCTCAGGGAATAAAATCATTTGAACTCCACTTAAGCTTACAGACCCATAATTATACCAACCACTTCCACACTTCATATTTGTAGCAACTGTTTGAAACGTATGACATATATAACAATTTATTATCAAATGTTACCGTCTGCACATTTTGTAATTGTCATAACAGGGTTGAATATGCATGTCTAACATTCCCTAACTAGTCCCTAAAATTGTACTGCTAAATACACTGACAGTTCACTGAGCTAAGATTGCTCTTATCATGTATACAATAACTCATCTTGAAATTAACTTTACTGCTAAACTAAATCAGATTAATTTCTCAATCCCTATGACAGGTTTGTCTATGAAGTAAACTGTATTCATAATTTATCTATTTACTTAAACCTATAGAAGACAGAAGGTAATTCAATTTATTCCTGCATGACAATTTAAGTTCTGCCATTAAAACTCAATTACATACAATGAGATACAAGCAACAATTTGTATCTCATTGTCTGGGACAATGATTTATTGAAGTACGTCCCAGACAAAGTGAAAACATGATTGCAGTATCTGTGTCTCTGAAGGAGACAGCTGGCTGTTAGAACTCACCACGCCAAAACCGAGACAGCACCAGCACGCTGGACGCTTTTCTTTGTCTGTGCGACTTTTTAAAGCGTGGCGGGCACTGCACAGCTGCTCAGGTGCACAGGGATCCGTCCAGGGTATTAAAGTTCAGATATGTCTGATCGTGTGAGCTTTCATTGTAAGTCTGTATTACCATGGCACCAGCTCTCTGATCAGCACTGATGTGGACAGATACTGGAGAGGAGGCTTGCACAGGGTTCTACCACAGAGACCTTGACATGTGACCTTGTGGAAAAAATCCCACTGAACAAGAAAAGAAGGGAGCACGGCTCACAGCATGATTTAAAACATTCAGATAAGCAGATGCACACATTTCTTTTTATTGTATGTCTATTTTGCCTCATGCCTGGCAGATTGCTAAAACATTAATGATAGATAGACATACAGTATGTGTTAAACACAGAGGTTCATGCACAGACACAAACAAAGGCCCAAACCATATAGAAAGAACAAAAACACACATGTCCAGTAAAAACAATATAAAGCCAGGCAAATAACTCAGTGCCTCTATTCTTCCATTATTCACTTGTGTTATTTCTCATATTCTTAAAATCACAAGTGATGAGCTAAATATCATGTTGAGTGCTCATTACTCATTGAACAATTACAGTGAATTTGGCAATAGAGTATTAGGGACTAAAGAAGAAAGGAGGAAGATGCATATCTTACCGGATTGTGATTGGAATCCATCTGTTATTGTTGATGTTCTGCTCTGCAGCGACATTCAAAACGTGACTGCCACCGCACCCCAGTTTAGCAACAGGGTTTCCGTCTTGAAGGAACACATGAAGGAACTGATCCCCAAAGTTCTGCTCCTGAGCTGGGATTGAAAGAAGAAGATGGTTGGTAGAGAGGCTCTTTTTTCATATGAACAAATTCAACACATTATGCAAGCTGATATATTTGATTATTTTAGGCTGAACTCTCAAAGTACAGAGCACAGAAAATTGTTGTTGAGGTTATTTAAAACACATTTTAAATGACAAAAACATATTTCTACAAGAGGATGATTGGGACTATATATTATATTAGATTTGTAAATGCTAAGCTCTGTAAATGGAACAAACTGAGGTGTTGCTGCGAATTGTACCAACATGAGCAAGAAGGAAGTAAAGACACATCCAGAAATACAACCTGATAAATGTCAAGGTTGCACTTGCTGTGATGAGTGGTAATTGTGTCAAGGATAAAAAAAAACCAATGAAAAGAATTTACTGATAAAAACTAAACAAAGAGTAACCTTTGAAAATAAAATGTGCAACATTTTCAAAGAGAAACGTTTTAATGCAAAGTCTTGAACAACCTGCAGCTTTGGAATTGCACACTCTAGCGTATTGATTCGTTTCCTCCACTGTTCAGCAGATGATTCAGCTGCGTGACTTGTTGCACTTTTAATAAATAAAAACAACTGGTAAAGTTACGTGTGCAGCAGTCGTGCTATCTGATATCACCTGCAGTAATGCTGCACAGCAGGAACATCTGTGCAAGATTATATTGGAGAGTTTGGAAATGCTAACTGGATTTACTGAGGTGAATCAGACTGCACGACTGCGGAGGAAAGTGACATGGAAATCTTGCAAGAACATCTGTAACCACGGTAACCTGGTCTGTGTCTCCATATTTGTTGACAGATGTAGCTTAGAAGACAACATAATTAAAAATGTATGATTACAATTAGATTTTATTGACTAAAACTAAATGAAAATCTGTGAAAATCAATAATCAACCAACGACTATTTGCAGGGATGATGCCAGCCTGCCAACAGATGCCGTATCACAGCCAGTATGATTCTCTTTTGATTTTGCAAGGACCTTGCTCACCTTGCTTTGTGCTCCACATAACACACCATTAAACACACAGAGCACAAAGAGCAAGGTCACCAAATGGTGTTGCAGGTCCAATCACAGCTCGAGTTTCCTTTGAGACACTGTTATGCCTCCAGGAGGGTACATGATTTTCCTTCTTAAAACATTAGAGGTACAAACATACTACAAGAATGGTGATGAAGCTCTAAGTCTTATTCCCACCTTCACCAAATAAAAGCCAGTGCGGTGGGTCAGACTTTTCTCTGAGCTTTAGAGTTAAATAACAAACAGTATGACCTCAGTCTGACAATTAAAGGAGACATTATGTGAGACATATTCTGGTTCATAATTTTAATTTGAGAAATTCATTGAAAAGCTTTACATGCTCTAATGTTAGGACATTCCTCATAATGTCCATTGCTGCTGCAGCACCTCTTTTCAGCCTCTGTCGGAAATACTCGTTTTTCGCTCCTATCTGTTTAAAGCTGATGAAGCCCCATCTGCTCTGATTGGTGAGCTGGCCCACTTAGTTGTGATTTGTTGACAGCTTTGTGCACATGTAGGAAATGTTGGCCTCTGCTCTCGCTTTAACTGTCTTTGTTAGGGGTCATGCCAGACTAGCCTCTAGACATGCATTATGCAAATGTGCATCATGAGGCACCCTGTAGCTCTACCGGTAGCGTGGGCATCCCACTTAACGATGGTTGAGCTCTCCTGCAGTGGCTGGAAGTTAGGCCCCAGCCCTTTGCTGCAAGTCTTCCCTACTCTCTTTCCCCATTTTACACTTACTGTCCAATTAATAAATGCGAAATACCCCAAAATATCTTAGGAGCAGTGTTTTCTGTGGTGGAGCTGCCAGTACCACAAACTTAAAAACTGTGCATCATATGTTCCCATTAATGCTCAAAACTTTCTCTTGTGAAATAGGATTTCATTATTACATTTGTCACTTCCAATCCTGGCATATGCAATGTGCACATCATATAACAATGGGAGTTTCTGTGAGGCTAGCACAGTCTCCTGCAAGCAAATCAGTGCATTTGAAGGTGCAGCAGACAGCGGCAGCATTAATCCTCCCACACAGGCTACTGGGGTCTTCAGGGAGAGAGAAAGAGAGAGAGCACATCAGTCCCACAGCGCCGTCGAAGACGACATGAGCAGAGGGCAGCCAACAGAAGAATGCAGCTCTTTGAGGAAGAAAGAGATAGAGAGAGAGAGCCTGCCAGGTTTGTGCCACTGTCAGGGAGGACATGGTTGCAGGGCAGAGGACAGCACAGGAGAGGTGCACTGTTAAGAGAGGCCTTAAATGTTTCACTGTTGTCAACATGGTCCATTTCAACTGAATTAAAGACAGTATTGGAGGACTGGGGGGGTCTTCCACTGTGGCAATGATAATTGAGCCAGGACAGTTGGTGACTGGGCTGGTGTGGCTCACTGGGTGAGGACAGAGGTGTCTTCGACCGTCTTGTGTCGCCGAAAAGCTTAGCATGTGGGCCATCTTTTCTGAAGTGCAGGCTTGGGAGCAGGATTTGGACCCCAGAGGAAAATGGTGCAAAAAGCTGCAGTCTTCTGTTTCGAGGCTGCATAGTAACTGATATGAAAGCTCCAAACAATTCCTGCAGGGTTAAGACAGTCATCCATAAAAATACCCCAACTCTTTGTCGGAGAGAGGCTACGCTTCCCTTAATATGCTGCACACTGATAATGCATCTTTTAAGCTGACTTGGAGGTCTTTCCTGTCGTAGGACTCGACGGGGATGCACTTAACAGCGCCATATTACTAACCACTGTTGCCGAATGGAGCACAGGAGGAATATCTTGCTCAGATAATCCAGCATTTCATCATCCTTGTTCTGCAGAAAAGTATGATTCCTACACGCTGAGAAAAACAGCAGTAGGGACAAAGTAGAGAGCCAGAGCATTATTCACTGGAATGAAAATATACAGTATAAATGCATTGCATCCTACTTAAAGTGACAACATTTTCCTGTGTCAGTCAGTAATTTAATGCCTATAAAGGTTGACTTTGTGTGTGAGGTTCTCCAGGGATCAATTCTTGGTCCCCTGCCAGTCGGCCACATCATCCAGAGACTCAGTGTTTGCTATCATAGTCATCCCATCAGTACTTATTTGTACACAGCCCTGTCCCTTAGAGACATGAAATGGATGTCCAACATGTCCCTGCAACTGAACAAGATTCTTGTTAATGGTGCAAACCTCAGTGGCAGGAGCCCTCATGCAACCTCAGTTTCACTTTCAGTGCCACACAGGTCAGAGTCCTTGGTGTAATTGCTGAGTGATATTTACAGCATTGCTTGAAACGGATTCATCACACAATCTAATACTATTCAAATGCTGTTTTAAGAGGTAAAAGAAAATCTGATCACATCTCACCAGGGTTAGGATCTCTGGCATTTATTTCCTATTATTTTTCAAACTAACATCATTTTGCATTGTTTTACTTGATTTTGAAAATAGGGTAACATTCTACATCTGAATTTATGTACATAGTTAAAGTTATATGACATTTTGTTTGCGCGTTGACATATATAATGCATATTCACCTTCTTGGTTATCTAATGTAACTTCTTGTTTGTTCAAGTTTGCTACTGCTTCAACTACTAAAGTGAATACTTTTTGTCTTAACTAAGGAGGTTATGTTTTCACTCCTTGTCATTTGTTTGTTTGGAGCCAGGAATTTCTTTCATCACTTCATTTGAAATGGCAAGAGAGGGCATTTTTTTCTTTTAGAGTCTTTAAATGTGGATTTAAATGTGGCTTTATGAGGGGGGATGGACCTTAATTTGGTTTATCTTTCCATCAGCCTATCATTCTTCAGCAATGGAGCTTATTTGCCTTGTTTTGTTGGCTTAAGGCTTGATTGAATTTAAGGGGGTTAGGCCTTGGCAGAGATATGTGATTGACTGAGTGATATTATAGTTCATCATATATTCATATATTTGGCTGAAACACACTGTGCCTTGTGATGGTAAGAGGTGGGTTTACCGAAGATTTATCGTTTGTCAACAAGTCAAGTCTGTACTTTGTGGCTTGAAATGAATAAATCTGCTGATTTAAAGTTACTAAGCTTTTTATCCAAAACTTCACTTCCACGTCTCTAACAATTACTATAATTTTCTCTTAATTCATGTGGTTAGGACAGATTCTTCAAACACCTGAGAGATGATGAAGCAGAGCTTGAAAATCTAATAAAAACTGGCGTTGGACATAATGTCAGATACTGCACAAATATGTCGGAAAGTGCCAGTTTTTGGCAGTGCATATATTTCTCTCCTTTGCCTGATAGAATGAAAAAGTTTCGAATGTAACTTCAGGTAACAAACAAACAAAGATTGCAATGTTTAATACTTTCGTTTGATGCTTATTTTCAGAGAAGGATTAGGACTATGACGCAGGCAGCGAGTCTCTGCAAGTTGTTTAGTGATTCTCATAGAAATAGATTGGCAGCAAATGAAGTCACCTTGAGCAGTGAGAGAGACTGAAATGTGTGAGCCAGAGGCTGTGAAGCCACTTTGGCCAAAAATACAGTAAATATACTTTTCATATATTGTATCTGTGCAATTCTTCACAGTTGCACAATTATAGAAAGGTTATTGATTTAATTCTACTTTTCAAACATCTGGTGTTAAAAATGATATTGTGAGCCCTCATGAACAAAAAAAATGAATGCAAGGCATGTTAGTGTGGATAAATGACAAGAAAAAACATAATCATGCTCGGCACATCATCTACATTATTGCCAAACCACAGATTCAGTGGAGGCCTGCCTGCAGCTAATGAATGCAGTGGCAAAGACAACAAGAACTACAGAGACTCAATTTCAATGAGCTTTTGTCTCCTTTTCAAACCAGTTCTCCACTTAGTGCCATAACTCTCATGTTGACAAATATTATTTACTATACATGACAATGTTGCCCCATCTTTCATTCTTCTATTTTTCCTCTATATTGTTCGCCCCTCTGTCCCCACGGCCCTGTTATGCCGCACCAAGCC